CTTTTGCCATAGTTTAATGAGTATAGATATGTCATATCACAGAGGGAGAGAGAGAGAGTGTTGAAATGGTGGCCTTTACAATAGAAGGGAAGTGTGACTATAGCAGCCCGAAAAGGAAGTGGCTGTCACCACCCATCCATTCTTTCAGGCTTGAGGGCTAATTTGTAAGTTACAGTTCCATAAAAGCTTGTAACAAATACAAAATATAATATTTTGGTGCCATTTTCCCTCCATAGTCATCGATTTTGCAACTATGAGCAACATTCTCTTGTTCTGATTTCCTCCCAAGTTTCCTCTAACATGTTCCCCATCATGTTTTCCGTCCCAACTATGAAGAAATATTCTCCGTCCTTAATCATGTTTCTCATCTTTGCTAATCTGTACCATGTTTGAGTATCAAACATGTCACTTAGTAAGTTATTGAATTTGAATTGGTGTTACCCTTTAAAGATTTGCTTAACAAAAAGTTGCGAATGAAACAAGATTTTATAAGAGAATGAATCTTTCTTATATGATTGACGTGGGGAACCGATCATGTAACCATGTCTTGCAAGAGGAACTGAGCAAGCGGTATCAGTGAGCTGAAGCTCCTATGAACCTTGTGCCCTCTTCCCCAGTACTCCAAGCAGATTCCTTCTGTTGGGATGGCTTTAAGCTGATATTGACTCAAACATTTGGTTCCCTAAAGTTGATTTGGACTATAAACTCATTAAAACGTCTGATTTTCAAAATTCCAATTAAGATTTGACCAAACTTTACTTGGACTACAATGGAAATACCCTGAGAATCCAAAACTATAAGATTTTTTAGTAAATTCAGTGGCTTTTCATCCTATGTTCCCAGATACAAATTTTCAGAATTCAATTCACAAAATGCCTAACTAGTCACTAGTAAATCTTTGCAAATCCAGGAGCAAAATGCCCCTAAAAGTATAAAGGTTAGAAAGCTGACAAAGGTACTACGAATTACCCTGGAAGACAAAAGTCCAAACATTCTTTTACTCTTGTGTAAATTTCCTTTGTAATAGTTTCCAAGATGACTGGTGGTAGTGAGTGGAACTGCTTCAGGAAACACCGCCCTCAAAGAGAACTTGGTGTGGTTATAAACTGCTTGAATTGATAGCCGCCTGTAAGCTGTAAAACCCACAAAAAACAATTATGTGAAAGACAATAAAAGGAATCATCAATGCCCGAAATTTCACTTTCCATAGCTAAACAGTAACAAACCACAAAAAAAAATTGCAAGCCTCAAGCAGTTTATTCAACCTGTTCAGCTCTCTAAGAGCCAAACTTTGGCCAACATTAATTTATTGTAAGCCAATATGATCATGAAAAATGCAGAAAATAGTGGAAAATTAAGGATGACAATTGCTTTTAGTGCTTTCAATACCATGACATGGGCAGGGAAATACAATGAAACAGGGGATGAAATCATGAAAATGAACATGAAACTACCTCATGGATTCCATGAATAGACAGAGAAATGCAATATTGTAAGGAATTAAAGAGTTAAGAGTTAGGTTCGAATCTGTTTGTCGAATTAAGAACAGTGGCACGTGATATTGGCACGGCTCAATCAAAAAACAGTCTCAATTCTCATTTGAGAACTGTGCTTTCTCATTGAACCGGGCCAATATCCCGTTAAATCTGATCCCTATTTTATGTTAGATTTCAGTACCCCAAGTGCTGCCACCTTCTGCACCAGCATCTGCTAGAGAGGAAGAACCAAGAAAAACCAACAAGAATTCATGGAAGAGGAAAACGAGGAGACACCTTCAAACTCCAAAATGGTACTACTATTACTATATCTTTGAATAAAAAAAAATGAAGAAAGGGCATGCAAGTTTTGTATTGGAGAGACTGACAGATACGTTCAATGCTGGAAAGGAGACCGAGGGAGAGGAGGGGGGGCAATGCGGATGTATGAGAAAGAGGGAGAGAGAGAGAGAGAGAGAGAGAGAGAGAGAGAGAGAGACCCCAAAATCCTTTTATTAACAAGTTATCTCCTCAACAGCATTGAATTGAAGAAGTTGCATTCAAGTTCTCCAACCACTCAGCGACAAACGCGGTTGGAGGGCATTAATAGGAGACGGTACAAGAATCATGAAAAAGCTCACGGAGACAACTGGAGCTTTGAATGTAGCATAGTAACATTAAAAGAAGAGGACGGGGATGTTGGTTCCGTTCAATCGGGCATTTATGGATCAAAACCGCAACAACAACAACAGCCCTTTGGGATCTTTCCCAACACCCTATAGCAATTACCCTTCTTTAAGGCCACCTCCTAGGTTCAGTTTGCTCTTTGCCATCTTTTTGCAACCAATGCATTTATCTTGTCCATTTTGAGATACTGTCCCGATGCTTTAAAATATCATGAAATATTCAAAGAAAAAGAGTCATGATCATCTATTGTAGGCATCAGTTTTAATAACAACACTAAAACATGTTGTAGTTGGCATAAATCGAAAGGAAATCAAAGCAATTCATACTTGATACCTTTCTTTCATAACTTCAAAAATAAGGACAATCTAAGCCTAACTTATCAGGAAACTTTAAGAACAAAAAATGGGAAAACCAGAAAACCTAAGAATCCCCATATCTATGCCAGCATAGCAGCATAATGGCACATCTCCACAAGTATGTAAAATCTTGACTTCTGCTCCTTTGCCATAGCCAGACTCCTCTTTTTGTAGCCAGAAACCTCCTTCAAGCTCCTCCGAGACATGCTTGCCTTGTTGCCTCTTGTTTATGTCTTACGGTCCAAGGTTTAGGCCTTCAGACAACTACACAGCAAAGAACCTAGAGATTGAAATAATTAAAGAGTGGTCCAAACTACCTTCGAAGGTGTTCAAGGGCCAAATCAGGGAGTGTAGGAGAGAAATACAAGAAAATATGGAACCTTACAAGAATGGGTTGGGTCCAAAAAATGATGATATGTCACACTTAGAGAAGTGACTGAACCTTAACAAACGCACCACTTGGGCGGGGCTCATGACCATGGAGGTTTCTGGAGACTGCTCCTCTTGTGTGCCTAGACGTTACCAAACTCACCATGTACGTCTGGCTACTCAGAGCCTCGACACTACACGTGGTGTATTTTGACTGGTCTTTCACTTGCGTCAGGGGAGTGAGTGGTCACCTTTTCGATTGGTTTTTTTTTTTTTACCTTGTTCAAGTTAAGACTACAAATCCTAAACTATTAAAGAATATCCTTAGGAACATTTTGTTTCTCCTTTTGGGTACACCTATTCCAACTTTGTTACTTAAAAAGAGTGTAACAATTTGGCACACAAACTACTAGCAAGCACTAAGCACAAATAAATAGACAGAAGAGATGATTAAGATATGAAAATTTTAAGTTTTAAACGTATCAAACTTACTTAATATATTTAATATTTATTTAATTAATTATGTTATTATGTATCTGCATAATATATAACTCGTTTATTATTCGTTTAATTAATCATATAAATATGTCTACTTGACGCATTTATGACCCAATTATGATTTGTTTAAATCTTCATATAAATACTTTATTTCATTATAATTGATAATGATGGTGATAAATTTTAAGATAAAATCTAAACCTCTTTAAGTTTTAATTAAAATTTTATGTAAGTCTATTAATTTTCAAAATAAATAATAAAATTCAAAAATGTAAATACTGTTAATAGAAAATATGAAATGACTAAAATATTTTTTTTCTTTCTCTTTTTTTTTCCTCTCAAATAATGTAGCTGGTTGGTGCGCCTCCATTCATCGACCGACCACCCCATGTGCTTACCAAGGAAGAGGAGCATCGATCAAGTGCTCTCCTCCTTCGCCTACATTTTTTTTTAAAAAAAAATATTAGATAATAGTAAATTTTAAAATTAATAAAGAGTAAATTTTTTTTTTCAATATTATCATGTTATCAAATTAATGGAAACATTAACAATTAACTAATGGTTGAAAAAATATTTTTTTGGAACGGATTGTTTATTTCAAAAATTAATAAACCCACTTGAAATTTTGATTAAAATTTAGAGAGGTTTAAGTATTTTATCTTAAATTTTATTATACATGATGGATATTATTGTTTTATTATAATTAGTTTTATGATTATTAGTTTTAAATTTAAATAATAAAATTATATTTCATTTGTAATTGTATTTCATTTTAATTTAATTATGTCAATTGTGTCTAAAATTTCAATAGTGCTAATCAAATTATAAATTGTGCCGTGTTATATAAATTTTAATTAAATATGTTTAATAAATGTATTTATAGTCGTATTTAAGATCTTGATATGTCTAATTAATTGCATCGTATTTATATTTATTTATATAACTGTTAATATTTTATATTTATATGTCACGGTTAAAACACACGAACACAAATTATCAAATCTACAAAAGGATGAATGACTTATATAAAAACAAATTCCATATACCCAATGAGAGATGATTTTTCATTAAAAGTTTTCTTTTATATATTTCTATTAAATGTGTCAAATTAGTAGTGAATTATTAGTAATTAAGAAAATTTATCGTTTGAGATGTGATCATTTCAATCAATTGATTTCACCGCATAATTAAACTCACATCAACTACGATTGAGTGTGAAAAATGTTAAGCAGCCGTAAGCCTAATAACCATTAAAATACGTGTATTATGTGAAGTTTTTATTAACAAAAGAAATTATCAGAGTAAAAAAAATCATAAAATAAAGATCTATTTAAGTACAACAAAAAGATAAATCAAGAACTTATTTGTATATTTTAACTGAACTTGAGCTTAACAGTACATCAAGTTGGCCCAAATATTTTAACTAAATATGTTTAATAAATATATCCTTTTTTATATTTAAAATTTTAAAATATTTAATTAATTATATTATATTCGTACTTATTCCACCACACTTTCACCTGGCTTGATTTTAGTAAATTTGGTTCAATTCTAGCATGGACCTGGATCACAAATGGGGTTTGGGATCGGGCTTTGGCAATGGCTGAGTCCACACGGGTTAATGGGAACAACTTCTTTAACAATACCAACAATTCTCCTTTAATTATTGCCACTTCTGGTTTTTTCTTTCCGTCGACCCCAATCTGCTCACTCTCTTTCCTTCGGTTTGCAACATTCCCCTCCTTCCTCTTCCCTTTCTTGATCTCTTCTTTATTTGTTTTTTAATTCTTATAAGAAATCTGAATTAATTTATCTTATGTTTATGTTATATTTGATAGTTTTAATTCCTTCCTTTTCTCTTTGGTTGCAGACTTTGTCGCTATGGCTAAGAGCTCCTTTAAGTTGGAACACCCCCTCGGTTCGTTTTCCTCCCTTAAATATTTCCATTTTTTTTATCTACCATCATGAGTTAAATTTCTTAATGATCTTTTATAGGCAATTGCTTTTGATCTTGAGAAACCCTAATTTTAATACTTTCCCAATTAATCCACTGCATCTCTTGAATTTTTCTTTCTTGTATCTGGGTCTTTTTTTTTTTTTTTGTAATTCTCAATGTTTTCTATTGCTATTGCTTTTACAGGAGAAGAAACAATTTTGAAAACCCAATTTAGAGGAAAAAAAAAAGAACAATTAATTGTTGGGGTTTGGAAAATGGGAGAATAATTTTGTTATCTTTGTAATGCTAAAACGTGTGTTGTTTTCCTGTGCCAGAAAGGAGGCAGGCTGAAGCTGCTCGTATTAGGGAGAAGTATCCGGACAGAATCCCGGTATGTAATGTTCTGTTGCTTTGTCTTTGAATGTAACATCTTTACGTTTTCTTTTTTCTTCAATGATAGAAAAGTTATATTGGCGTTTGATTGTTTGGTGTAGGTGATCGTTGAGAGGGCGGATAAGAGTGATGTGCCTGATATTGACAAGAAAAAGTCAGTTATTTTCTCTCTACTTGTTTTAGCAACTGTCAATGTTATTGATTTTTATTTGCTTATATATGTTTTATGCATTTGGATTTCATTGATATGTGTTACAGTTCAAGGTGTTTAAATTATGTAAATGATGGTGCCATTGAATATTAGTTGATTTATTCTTTGAAATGTAAATGTTAATTAAACTTAGAACAGTTAATTGATTTCTTCTTGTAGTTTTTGTTGCTGACGTTCTAAATTTGTAATCTTTTTGCTGTATGGTGGTTGTGATTTTGGTTCTTGAATGCTTTAGATCTTTGAGTTCTGGATTCCTGTGGATTCTAACTAATGTGGATTAAGATATCCTAGCTAAAGAAAGAGTTGTCAACCATTTTAGATGGGGTTTTTGAGGAATGAAAGATAGCATGTTGTTCAAAGTGTGTTACCTATACCCTTTGGAATTTTTGCCCAAATAATTGCTTTAGAATTATAACTTTCTCCAATGCTTGTCAGTTCAAGACTTCTTCTTTTGTACTAGGCAAGATAATGGCCTCCCCTGAATATTATGTCTCGGTAAATAATTTTGTTTCTTTATTAAGAAGAAAATATTGGGTGCATGAACTTGTGCTTTCAATGTGATTTCATGAATCTTTTCTTACACCTGTTTTTAAGTTTTCCTAGTCTAATTTTCACGAATTTATGACCTGAATGTTTGATAATGCCCTGACTAGATCAAGAAGTACTAAACTGTGCTGTTAGTTATGTCAGCCAGAGAAAATGAATTTGTTAATGATGTTTGTTAGTAATTCTAATGATCTATTTAATTTGTGTTACTATAGGAGTTGATATATTCTGTTTGTTATCATTTGACTGTTTCATGTTGTTGCAGAATAAAGCGCATTTTTTGATAAGATGGTTGTCTTTGTCCATGGAGTTTTAATATGATTATTGCTTTAATATTTCCCTGTTGGAACCTGATTCAAAAATTTTGAACATCGATTCTCCATTTGTTCCCCATATTACACTTCTTCTTGAAGCTGATTCTCCTTTCGTGATCAATGCAGATATCTGGTTCCTGCTGATCTAACAGTTGGCCAATTTGTCTATGTTGTCCGGAAGAGGATTAAGCTGAGTCCTGAGAAGGCTATTTTCATTTTTGTGAAGAACATTCTACCACCAACTGGTGAGATGAAACTTGTAGATTTCTTATTGCTCTTGTTTCATTTCCTGTGCTACCAGTTTCATTAAATGGTGTATTTTAAATATTGGTGCAGCTGCTATGATGTCTGCCATATACGAGGAAAACAAGGATGAAGATGGTTTCCTTTACATGACTTACAGTGGTGAGAACACGTTTGGAACTGGGATGATTGAGGCAATATGATCAACGGATATCCATGTGAATATGACTTGCGAAAAATAAAAATAGTTTAAGATGTAAATTCTTTGTTGCTCCCCTTGGTGGATATTGCCTACTAGTTCAATATTCGCTGGCAAATGGCCTCCTCTGACATTTTCTTTAAAAGTTGGTAACTAATTTATGTGAACTAAACAGCGTTTGCCTTGCTGTGTAGTGCTGAAGCTTTTTAGGAATTAGATATGGTTCCTTGACTATACCATTATATGTTGCTGCCTGTCATCCTATAAAGCTCTTTGAAGTCTGCCTCTCAGCTGTAAACCTGTTCTTTTCTCTCATTGGCTTAAAAGCTCAAAAAACCATTGAATTTGAAGCCACTTTGGTTAAAGAAAATGGTTTAGTACCATAAATAACCATTTGCATGAGTAGATTGGATAAAGCTTCACTTTCAACGTTGAAAGTGTAAATTTTAATCCTAAAATTTATGCTGTCGAAACTCTAATCAAATCTCACTTCTCCCGTGTCAGTCACGGCTGCAATCCCTTTCCTCAGCAGCTTAGGCGAAAGCGGGGATGGGAAGAGATGAGATGTCACAATATATGAATAGTTAAAAGGGGAGGACAGCAATGGAACTTTGGATGGCATAAATATTAAAAAATAATTTTTAAAAATAAGAGTTTTTTAAATTTTAATTATTTTTAGTCAAGTTAGATAAAATTATTTTTTATGAAATCTCTTCATATTTAAAACGTACGTTATGTTGTATGTTATGTTGAAAAATTATTATTGTTATATGTTACGTACAAAAATATGTAACACGTCATGTTAAATGAATATTATTATTATACGCTATGAACAAAAATATATTAAACAACATGATTAAAAGAGGCTATTACACGTTATATTGATAAAAAAAAAATTATTATTACACGTTATATACAAAATCATGTTATAAATCATGGTTAAAAAAAATTGTTACACGTCATGTCAAAAAAAAATATTATTATTACACGTTATGTATAAAAACATGTTACATTCAATGTTGAAAAAAAATACTGTTACACTACGTTGAAAAATTATTATTGTTACATGCTATGTTTAAAAAATTTTTATTACAGTTTAATACCTAAAATATTGTTACTTATGAACCAAAATGTTAAATCTTCGCAATTCTCTTCATTTTATTTTTTTTTTCACGATTTGACATCAATTAAAGTATTTCTAACATGTTTTAATTAGACTTATCAAAATGGACTTAGCCATTCGGCCAACTTAATTTTTTTATTAAAAATTGGATGGACTGAGTTTAAAATCTTATACCCATATTAAAGCAGTGGGTTGGGGCAAGCTAGCCTTATGCATTAGAAAAAAAAATAATTTTAGTTAATTTAATAATTTTATATATTTAATTATATAAAATTAAGAATTTAGTTATCAATGGTATTACTTATTTTATATATTTCAATGTTTTTACTCTTTACTTGTCAAATTAATAATTTTAGATTAGATTAAAACTCACTATTTCTTTTTCTTTATAACAATGAATATTAAATAAGAAATTGATAATGATTTAGATCTTAAAACATCATTACTGTCCAAACAAGATTTAAATGTTTTGCTTGAAGATGAGGATTAAGGAGGACATAAATGAGTCTTGAAGTTTCTATTTATTTGATTATATATTTATATTTATGAGATGATAGTTTGTGTTAAATATTAAAACTTTATTTATGTAATTTATTTACTTATTTATATTTAGTGTAATTTATTTATTTATAACATGTTTTTATTATTTGATTTATGAATTAAATCATAGAATAATTTTATTGATAGGAAGTTTATTTGGTAAAATTATAGAAATGATTTTTTTTTTAAAAAAAAGAAATAAGTTGGCCCAACTCAATCCGAGAGCTAGCAAGGGTTGGAGTTTTGATGATTCATGTAAAACATGGGCTAACTCGACCCAACCTATATTTTCTCAATCCACAAGAGTTTGGGCTTAACTGGGTTAGGCCAGCCTATATTGACACATTTAGTTTTAATAAATTAAAATATTTTTTTAATCTAAAATACTTGTTTCGATTAAAAATCAAAAAAATATTCTCTTTGAAATCATAAATTTATAAATTTCAAATATTTGAATTTATTTGTGTTTAGTCCTAAATTAATTCAGTTAAAAGCTATTTCAAATATTTGTAATCATATTTACCGTTTTAATTTTATTCAAAACATTTAAAAATTAAATTTTTTAAATAGCCATCTATCCAAACACATCAAAACCATCTTTTAACGTCTTGAAAGCATGAGAGAGAAAAATTAGAGGCATAACAGACAAATGCCGAAAAGAAAAATCAATAAATTTTAAAAAAACTGAATGGTGAGAAAAATCAAAAGCAAAGACGAATATAAAAAAAAATTATAATGAATAGTTTAATTTATTTGAAATGTTTTCAAAAGTATTTTTATCAACTCATACTTAACTTTGAATAAAAATAATTAAATTTATTTTAATGGTTATTTTTGAAATCGTTTGTCAAAAAGCATAGCTTACTTAATTAGGCTTAAGCAATAATTTGACACCTGTATGGGATTAACGATATAAATATAGGGAAGCCATAGATCCTTGAGCATGGAGCTCGAGACCCTTTCATGGACCTTGCATAGGAGTGTCGTATGGCTACTACAGTAGGTTTCTCGTACTAGCAATTGTTGTTTCCACTTGTGTGTGGCCATTCTTTAACCTCCATATCCATCATAATCCAAGAATCTTAAATCAACAAAGAAATACTTTCGTCTTGAAATTCTGCAAGTGTCATTCTTACGTTGAGATCACGTCACCTCGTCGTTTTACTACTCTTTCTCCTTCACAGTTAACAGTTTATATATATGTATATAAAATTTTATAAGTAATCCTCATAAAATTTAAACTTTTATAAAAAAAAAACATACTACGAGTGTATTCAAATATTTCACAATTTTGAAGTTGGTCTAAATGAATCATTATGTATTCTTAAAGCTTGATGTTTCCTAATTAATTTATATGATTTGCTAATTTGTTTTCTTTTCGTAACTAAGATTTAAGAAAATCATTAAAAGAAATATTATTATTGACAAGGTGCGTGTACAATTTTTTTTCATGAATTTTATGTTGTCAAAAGGCATAAGTTTTTTTAATCATTAATTTCTTTTATGAATTTTATCTCATTAAATGTATTTTTATCTCAAATCTACTGTAATGGCTAAAAATAGTTAAAATTATCTAGAGGTCTATTTTCAAAAATACTTTATTTTTTAAAATTAAAAAAAAATCTTCGAAAATTATATCCTACACCCTCCTACTTAAGCAAGTTCAGGTAATTATGTATTTATTGCTAGCGTTAAGTTTATTTTAAGTTCATTGATATAATAATACTGTTATTAAGAATAATGTTATTTGTTACCTAATTAGTTTCTATCCTTTATAGATAATTAATAATTTATTATACAAATTCAAGTTTGGATTCACCAATTCATGGATTGCTTAATTAATTTATTATAAATAAGATATATTTTACAAGTAAAAAGAAATTAATAGTCCAACTCTTAATTATCCAAATAACTCCTCTTTATCTCCAAAGAAGTAAGAAATAATTTATTTCTTCACATTTATTGGTTATTCACGAGCACAATTTTTCGAGAAACCTAGAAATAATATAATACGAGAGTGAAATAAAATTAACATGATATAAATTTTGATTTTGATAAAAATGATTATAATTAATTTTTAAAATTTATAATTGATGCATTTGCTTTGACACCATATAATTTTAATACACTGTCAGTTCACCACTTTGAAAAGAGAAGAAGAGAGCTAAAGCAGTATTATTAATATTTGTCTTGTGTGAATAAGTGGGTGTTGGACAAACAACACTTTCCTTTCCTTGCTAAGTTTGGGTTGCTGTTATGTTCAAACTTCTTTTGCAAATTTTCCAAGAAAGGAGACTTTGGAAAGTTGTTTTCAAGAAAATTGGAACTTGGTACGATTAGGCAATAATTTCAAGATTCCAACTTTGAATTTTTTCCAAATTTTTTTGATTTTTTGGCAAAGGTTCTTGCCAAGGAGAGGGTTTTGAATACCTTTGCACATGAAAAACGAGAGGGAGTTGAGAGAAAGTGAAAAAAAAAAATATTATTTTTTATCTGATTATATATTAAAACAATTTTATATTTATTTTCAAATTACTTTCTAATATTTTGTGATTGACTGACAACACATACGCTGTGAGTACGTCAATGTAAATCCAATAACTTGTCTAAATTCAAAGGACGATGAGGTCATGTCAGCTGCGGAGTCGGGCCTTACACCAGAGCTGGAGGGAAGGGCGTTGCTAGCAGGGGCTGTCCCTCTCAAAAAAATTTTAAATTTTTTTATTTATTTTATTCTTTTAAATTTTTTAGAATAATTTTTATTTAATAATTAATATAACTAAAAAATAATAAATTAATTTGACACATTTTTCTGGACGTTGCCTTAATTTAAATTACTCCATACATTTTTTCTTCCCTTTTTTTTGGAAAGTTAAAACACTCATTGACAAAAGGGATGAATGAATTTCCTCTTTCTTTGCTCTTTTGTTTTTTTATTTTTATTATTTATTTTTTTTTAACTTACAACTAAGTCACACTTCATTTTATAAAAAAAATTTATGAGCTTGTGAGCTGAGATAAGAAAAGACGAATACCACTTACTACCACAGTATAAAATTAACAAAAGGTAAAGGTTTTATTTATTTATATTATTTAACTATTTATATATTTAACTATTTAATAAAATTTTATATATTTTATTTAACTATTTATATTTTATGTATTATAGTTTTATATTTAATGTTTTAAGTTTAAACATAAATAAAATAAGAATATTGAATGTTGACTATACTACTTTGGATCCTTTTCAATAATAAAAATTACAAAAATAAGATTTTGAAACAAATTAGATAAAGAGTTTATTGTATATAATTTAGTTATTTATATTAAAAAAATATTATTAACCTTTTCAGTACAAACTCATAATTGATGAATTTAAATTCAGAAAATATCATTGAATATAATTTTTTAAAAATTATTGTAATTTTTTTTTATTTTTTTATTTACATGTTATAGAAAATTATGATCTATTATGAATTTTTTTTATTAATTAAATTAAATATATTAATCTTTAAAATATTTAACTTTTATTCCTTTTTAATAATAACCTTCTTAACAAAAATTGATTAGCTTTGTCCCTGGTTAGTAAGGCTTGTATTCTCAAAATTTTAAAAATTTAACCTTTTTTTTATTTT